TTTTTTATTTGTTTGTTTTCTGTAGTGCGTTAAGTGCTTTTGACTTGAGCCATTTCATCCAAACAGAAGATTTTTAAAGAAAGTTTTAATAGAAATCTCAGATATGTACGAAGCATATAACAATAGTTATTTATGGCTCTGACCCTACATGCACGAAAACGTGAGTGAAAAACTGAATTTTGAATAAGACACCCGCTGAAAAATTGGTTTCGATACTTTAAATTCGTCGAGACCTATGTTTTTATGTAAACTGTGTAAGGGAATGTAATTAATATGGATTCTTTCCCGAACATATCGAAACCTGGTTGTTAAGAGTCGCGCTTTTCAGGTCGCATATTCGAATCCTCTCACTGAAAATGCTCGCCATTTCAACCGTAAAGGCATTATAATGTGACGATCAATCCAACTATTTCGTTGCTAAAGAGTGGCCCAAGAGTTGACGGTGGGTGGTATTGACTATCCCTTCTAAATGGAAGACGGATAGCCTTCGGGTGTCTTTACCAGAAATTCAACAAAACAAGCTCAGTCATGTTATTACGAGAACAGTTTCAATTCTTAAATTTTTGGACACCATTTTGAGAATTGTGATTAATATTCTGATTGGTATGTAAAGATTATAAGTATTCAACAAAAGTTTATGATTGTTTGTACACACGAGTTGTGATTGTTTGAACAAAACAGGATTACGATGTCATGGTTATTACTATATGTAAGGTATATGTTTGATTACACATAAAGGTTATAGTTAGTTGTACATAAAGGTTATTATTGTTTGTACGTACGGGTTGTGATTTCCATTTTTTTAACTGAAATAAATACAATCCATCGGTAAGTACACTAGCTTGTCTGTATAGGAACTTAATATTTGAAGTTAAACCATTAAGAAGAACCAGCCCTTTTTGTAGTTACTAATTAAAACCTGATGCATCAGTTATTCTGCTTGTTAGCCGAGACAACGTATGATAAACAGCCATTGATTTAAATAATCTTTCCCAGTGGACTATGATGACTAACGTTTTATTAGGTTGCCCAGGGCTCTAGGTAAATAACCCTTGTCCATTATTGTATTTCAAGTCATGCATTTATAACAAGCACAGCGTTAGTTTTCAGAGACACTTTTTATTATAAAGTGTTTTTTCACTTTACGAAAGATGATGTACAAATCTTCAATATGAGAAAGATTATTAAGGTAAACAATCATATAAGATATATTAGATGCTAAGAATGAAATTGTCTTATAACTAAAAATATCAAAAATTGTTTCAAAGTTAGTCCTCTTTTGGCAGTGTTGAAAACAATAGCAAGGTGGTAAGTAAATTAAATAACTTGAAAGAAATTTATTCAACTGAAAAAGATTTGGTTTATTTTACTGTTATTTATTTACTACTGGCATATAGTCCGTCAAAAATGACGGGGCAAGTACTACCACCCCCACCCCTAATCTAACATTTCATAGCTAACTGAAATAAATAAGTTTTACGAAACCAAGCTTGGCCAACAAAGAGGCAGAAAGTGTAGTCGAGGCAGTCAAACGTCGGTAAATGCCTTTGTGAGCCAATCAAAATTAAGATCATTCGTGACATGAATTCGTGGCATATTCATAGAATAATTATTGGTAAAAATCAGTTGGATTAACAACTTCTAATATATAGAAATGCCAGTGCGTTTTGGTAACACTACGTTCGAACAATGGCTTTTATGTCATGTTGCTTAGCAATAAAAATATGTATCTATATAAATATAATAGTACTGTCTATTGTATGTTCATGAATGGATCTTTACCACAATTGGTATAGAGGTTCATTAGGTCCATGCGGAGATACATAAAAATTTTCAGATTTTCATTTCGCGGTATTTACCACTACTTATCCCTCTGTTGACGGATATTCCCCAAATTTGGCATGAAGGTTTGTTAGGTCCATGCGAAAATACAAGCAAACTTACTGTTTCACGTTTTGTGTTTTCCAGTTTTTATGGGCGCTTTTGCATATTTTTACAATTACATATAAGGGAAACAACTTTTCATGTCCTA